TTGGATCACGGATTTGGCTAAGTTTTCTGCCCTCTGCTGCCCTATGTGTGACCCTTGCCACAACTCACAGATCTTTGACGTAGATCGTCCCTGTCTTCTGGACGTCCACAAACTTCAGTCTGCTCTGCGGCAGCTGTCACTCCTTGGGGGTGACAGTCATCGGCTCCAGCGTGACAATAGCGCCTGTTACACTACCAAGACAGAAGGTTAGTGAAAAGAATCCAGTACCTCTGCATTTTATCTTCCAAGCCAAGTTCACTAACACTTCTGCCTTGACAGACTGGATCTATGGCAAGCCCTTTTAACATAACATCCTCCGCACTTCCTCTGTAAGCATCACGGAAAGCGGAAACAGCTAGCAGTAAGCCTTGGTTGTCGAAGCTGTACCCACGCAGGACATCTGGACTGCTCCCTGGTTCTGGCCTGTACTTCATGTGACACTTGCAGAGACTGAAGATGCATAAGTTGACAGAGTGTGGGCACAAAACACATGTTGGGAAGACTATGCAGCATTGAAGGAAGAGCAGGGAGGTCTGGAGCCATGTGGTGCAGAATGATGCTGCGCAGGACTTCTCAGGTGGGCACTGGTGAGACCTCAGTGAGCCCTGTGGCACAGGACCAAGTCTGGATGGTACCAGCTCCAAAGCTGAGAGACCATCTCTAGGATAAGTGTGATAAGTGGTTGGGACTCCAGCTGGTGGTTTTTCTCCCGATGCCAGGATGTCAGGATCTGGAAGTGGTCCTACAAACACACGAGTGACAGAATCACAATAAGTTTTGACAGTTTGGACATAAAAACATTAACCCACAGGTTATACCTGTGAAAGCTCTGCAAAGCGTGGAGTGCAAACATCTTTTCACCACAGTTTTGGGCTTTCGCACCACCACCTCGCTGGCAGGTTCAGGATGGATTCCCTTACAAGAAATAAACATAAAAGATTATGTCAAATAAACTAAAAAATAAATAAATGTAAAGGGACAAGTGAGCAATTTTGTAGGACACAGTGGGACAGATTTGAGAGTTAAGATTTTTACTTAACTTGCAAATATTACTAATTCATAGAGGTTGAACCTACATTTATTCATTACCTACAAAAACAAACAATTCTAAACAAGTTAGGAGAGAAAAATATATTTGACACAAGTAATATTGAGACTATGACAAATTTCACATGGCACTAATAATATACAGGTGGGAAAGTTATTACAAGTATTGATATGAGAATCATAACCATCATATACTAAATAATATAACAGAAAAGAATGTGTTCCACTCTTATTTTATTTTTTGTTTTACCTGTGTTCTTTGTCTGTGCCTTCTTTGTAAATCTCTTGTGCGGGCCAGTACAGGAGGACCAGTTGGCAGCTGGAGTTGGGAGTAGTGGGCAGTCTGGTAAAAAAAAAAAGTGCAACTACATGGTTACAAAAACCTTCACCAGCTGCACTTCTACAGAAATAAGCCAACATTTCTTTTTTCAACACCCAGTGAGATCTAAAATAGATCTGATTTTAGCACACACACACACACACACACACACACACACACACATATATATAATTAATACTTGTTATAACATATTTAGTTTTAAACCAAGTAGTAGATTGTATAATAGGTGGATTCACTTAACACATCACCTTACATATACACAGCACGCTACATACACACATAAACATATGTTTGGCACTAATGGAACCTCATAAAAATATAATTAAAGATTTTATATCATGTCTGTCTCAAACACTCCAAATAATATAGCACACTAAATTAGGCTTCTTTATTACGATGTTTATGCGCTTCATATGTTGTAGCTAACGGTTAGCTTGCTAAGCTACGTCTTTTCTTACCTTGATAGCTGTGGAGATCTTCTTCAAGGAAGAACTTTTATCCTTTTAAGTTTATTAGTTCGAGAATTCGCCGCTGCGATTTCCTCCTCAGCAGTGAAAGAAAAGATTGGCAAATTAAGCAAAGATGTTGAAAAGAGAGACATTTCTCCTTAGTGCAAAAACTCGCAAAGCAGGAAGTGTCGGTTTCCGGTTGTGGTGAAAAAGACGTCGCAAAAGAGTATTCTTGTTGCAGATATAATAAATAATCCGAGCTGCCGCGTTAAAAATCATGTTAAAAAATACGAGCGTTGTGTTGGACTGACCTGATTTTGCAGATTATAAAATAAAAGGGCTACAATGTCTTATGATTTTTCCGCCAAAATGCTACGTAAATCTGTGACGTTTTGACTAGTCAGAATAACAATTCAAGATATCTTGAATGTCATTCTGACTAGTCAAAATGTGAATTCAAGATATCTTAAATAGAAAAGCCGTCTACATGATAAAATATTCAAGATATCTTGAATTCATTTTGAGATATCTTAAAAGGAATTTTGACTAGTCATAAGTACAGTTCTAGATATCTGTAAATTAGTTTTGCCTAGTCGTTATTTGCTTTCAAGATATCTACAATTTAATT